CGTGAAAATACTCCGAAACTATTTAACAAGAGGAGAAACGCTGCATGACTTTATCAGATTGCGCAGCGGGTTAAGATCAAGGTTGATAGTGACAGAGATGTTGAGGTGCGGTACTTTGAATTAATGCAGTGGTGTCAACCTCATTTTGGTCAGGGGCCAAATTTAAAAACATAAGAGCTGGTTGGGGCCAAAAGTATAAAAGTGTTTTTGCTTTGTTTTTTTTTTAAACACAATTTTCCTTTTGACAAATTAACTGTATTTGTCATGAGTTGGACATTATTCTCTAGTAGGTTTCGATTCAACCCCAACTGAGTCAAACATAAAGTTAGTTCTTCTAAATACATTTTAGTTAACATTTTGGAACATACTCAATTGTATGGTTGTTTTCCTGAGACAATAGGCTTTAAAATGAAGTATAACATGCCGTAGTATCCCATTACCATCAATGCTGTAAGTTACTGTAACAAAGAAGAAGGTCCTTTATTTGTCCCACAATGGGGAAATTTCAGTTTGATGCACACACATACACATACACATACACATACACACACATACACATACACACATACACATCAAGGCAAGCAGCGAACATCACTTTTGCGCTCCTCATAGGCAAAGTGGGTTAAGGGTCTTGCCCAAGGACACAACGACAGCAGACATCAGTGGGAGTCGGTGGAGATGGTCTCGTGGTGGACTCAAACTCATGACCTTCGGGCTCAAAGTTCAATGCTCTACCAACTGAGCCACTGTCACCCCATTAAGTGAAACTTATCTCAGAGACCACTAAAATGGTCTTGCGGGCCGGAGTTTGACATGCCTGTTTCATGTGTTGGTAGATTCTCTGAGCTTTAGAATATCATTCAAAAGTATTTCATGCCTTTTTAAAAAAATAAATAATAATTAATAAATAATAATCATGGTTCTCTGCTTGAATAAAAATCAAATAAATCCTCTACAAAAAATAATATAAAAGTAATATTTTGAAAATGGACTGTAAGCCATAACCATTAAAATGGAATTTTTTTTTGGCTTATGTCACTTTGGATCTTATGGGTCTATGTCTATGAATTACAGAAATAAATAAAAAAATACTTCTTGAGCCATATTCTAAGTTGCATAGTTTCACCTGTAAATGCTTGATTGATTTTTTGATTTTATTATCTATTTTAATATAAAAGATATACTAAATCTTTATATATGGTAGTTTATTAGATGCATACAATGATTTGATAATGAATATGATTACACTTGCAATGAGATAAAAGTACAAGGACATTTTTAATGCACAATAAGCCTTTTTAGTCTCATTAAATCTAAATAAGCCCTGGTTGATTTTGGGACAGATACAGAGAACGCTGAAAGGGAAAGAACATTGTGTTATTTATTTTTACTCACACTGAGAGATGAGGCCATTTGCTCAGTCTACAGGTAAAGAAGGCTTATGGCTTAGAGGCACTTCAGAAAAAAGGACAAAAGTGCAATGCTTTTTTGTTTAAGTAGCTTTCAGAGACATTGCTTTGGGTTCATTGTCCCTGAGAAAACATCTGAAACTGACTCACAAATGGGGAGATACGTCTTGAGGCTATCGGAGGAAGTCAAATTGGATCACATACAGCCCAAACCCTGTCTCACACTGGTGTAGCCATATAGGAATGTAAAGTTGTTGCTGATGGGAGATTTCTCTAGTGACAGGTGGTGTCGAGATGCTGGTCACATAACAGTTTGAACAGTTGGATAGTGGCATTGTCTTCTTTTGATCAAAACATTATTTTTGAATATTGCGTCTGGCTGATTATGTCACATCAACTTCAGCAGCATCAACAGTATCCACCAGCTGCTCATCATGAAGAAGTTATGGTTTTGTCTGTGTGTCCAAACTTATTTAGTAAAAGGTCCAATTTAGTTCACCAGACGATGGGTTGTAGAACATTTTGACTGTATTCAGAACGCAATGACATTGTAGAGGGGAAGTTGTTTACCTATAGACGGCCTCCTGGCTGCCAAGCTTTAAGGCTTTCTCAAACGCATGTCTCCACAAACCGCAGTCCAAATATTATTAGAGGTTCTTTATTGGCCTCTGTGACCAGTAATCCACATAAACACAATACAGTCATTGACACAGTAAGAAACAGTTTACCTCCAAACCTAGCATCACCTGTACCCTCTAATTCTATCCCTTTTATAGGAGAATGGGTGCAAGTCACATAAGGCCTACTGCGCCACCTTGAGGCCAGGGAAAGGTACATTTTGGCTCACACAGACTTCGTGTGAGAGAGCTGAAGTTAGCTGAAAGTTCACTTTTTATTAGTATCAGATTACAATGTCACTATTAGCGGGAGTAGCCCTATGAACATTTAGTCCTTGACTGATGTAGAATGGAAAACAGAAGTAAAATTGAACACATATACCAACCTCATCATTTTTATCAGCCCAAAGAGTCAATTAGTGACTCACAGGGCTCTTCTTACAAGTAAATAAATGATCAAATGTTTTCTAATAAGATGAAGAAGCATGTTGGACTAAAAAAATATGTATTAATGTAAAAACCAGTTTTTTACCCAAGATTGAATGTATTTAAAATCACTCAAATGTATAGATGCTCAACTGTGTAACACTGTTGAAGATTAGCAAAAGAAATGTTCTACTGTTATGTACAATATGACAATTATAGCAAGTCAGGCACTAATTTAGACAATTTTTTCCGCCTTGGTTGTTTGCGCCCAGACCCGTGGTATAAAGGCTCCAGACAGCGCCTCACTCACATCCTCCCACTCTCCTGCTCTGCTCCAAATCCACAGCAGCTACTGAAGGAACTGCCAAAATCCACACACAGACATTGTTTTGATTTACGCTGCAAAGGTTTCGCCTCATAACACTTCTGTGAACAATCGTGGAAAATTATGGATCCGGCTGCGCTCTGGAGTCAGTTTGAGACGATTATGTATTTGCTTGTTACCGGTGAAAAAGTTACAGACGTCCGAAAATCACTGTTTTTGTTCCAGAGATTTCCCTATTTCTGATCAATTGTTCCCTCAACAACAATAGAAAAGGTTAAATATTCTTTTACTTTCTATTCAAAAATTATCAAATATTGTCTAAATATTTTCAGGTTTTATCAACATTCACCAAATCAAACTGAAGTCTGGAAACGGTTTTCAGAAACTGCACTGGCACTGAAGTGATACGTCAAAGATTAAACAACAACATTTTAATAATTTGTATTACAATAAAACAGGATTTGAGGGGACTGGCATTAAATTATTAATTCTGTAAATACAAGTTAAATTCCTAATGAAGGTTAACAAGTACTATGCAAAATAAGATATGAGGAAAACCTTATCCCCCAGTGTATTTGTTAAAATTAGAAAAGAAAAGAAATGCATATCTGATGGTTCTCCCACAGATGCCCTCAAACAGAGTACTGCAGACATTGGAAAGTGTTTTCAGAATAACATTAAACTCGCTGGAACATGGGTCCTTTGGTACAGGCTTATATAACGACAACAGTGAAAGAATATATTTTCTAGTGTGGAGAACAGTGCATTAAACTGATGCGATGGGTCAAGTCCACCTGTACCTCTTGAATAATGCGCAGTACAAGGCTGGCACACAGCAGACGCTAGCACAGGGCTCGCTGCAAATAATCTCTTCTAAATGTGATACTAATCCGTCTGTATTTTATATATTTATTATGTTTTTTAGTGTTTGTTACAATAACCTTTGCTAGGAGGAAGGAGGTAACAAAAACCAAGGTGTAAAATGATAAAATAAGTATTTTAATAACAGGAATGTAGATAACAAAAATAACAACTGGGTAAAATACACAAGGACAAATGGAGGCAACTAAATGTTACAAAACAAGCTATAATATAAAATGGACAACAAAGAAATACAACAAATTTAACGGCTGTCTCAACAAAAGCGAACTGTCAAAAAACAAAACCCAAAGTGACAACAAAAATGAGACGGACCAAAAAACGTAAAGTCACACGAGTGTCTTTAACACACCAATGACACACGACAGTCACACAAAGGAAATAGCAGTCACAAAGACTAGCAGCCCTGCAGAAGTGTGAGGGACTCCAGGTGATGACTTGGGTTTGCTCGGTGTAGAGCCACTGCTCCAATCATACCTGGAAGGGCCAGAGGATCAAAGTAATAAAATCCATCAATCATACAACACAAATCAGTTTAATTCTCTCACAAGTTTAAAAATGTACGTACGTCTGTCACATCTTTAGATCAGCTTTTTCAGACAGAAAAAGATGTTGTCAAACAGCTGTAAACAATAACATGTTTTAAATAAGATAAAGACAGCATGTTGGCATTTGATGAGTTCACAAAATGTTACTTGAACAAGATTCTTTATTTTGGGACAAACAAAACGTATTTATGAATCTCACAAAAAGTTAGGTGCTCCAGCTTTAATATGCTGGTTAGTTGTTTAAATTGTGAAAAGCAACTTTGGACACACTCATTTTGTTATTCCTCCTGTGGACTCACCTGCAGAAGGATCAGAGAGGGGCTGGTGGTCTGTGAAGTGGGTGCTGCTCTGACTGCCACCCACTGAGCTAGAGATGGATTAAGGGGAAGAAAATGGATGAATGGATAATTGTTTTGTGTTTCCTGCTTCACAAACATACAACTTTTGGACATGAAGAAGCTGATTCCAGATGAGGATTATTTTATTAATAGACTAAATGGTCACGTCATGCATGGATTAGTTGTGATGAATTAATTACTTTGTAAAGGCCTATTCTAAATATTTTATGCAATTAGGGGTGTGTACGTGTATGTGTGTGTGTGTGTGTGTGTGTTTTTTTTTTTTTCATCTTCCCAGACTTTCCACAGCACATTCTCTGTATCTGGATTCTTCTTTCTTTATCCATTATAGATGTGCGTTGTCGGTCACGAACGCTGCAGTGAAGTCTTTTTTGTGTGTCTTTCAGTGCAGGTTGTGTAGTGCTGTGGAGGATTTCGTGGCCCCGGCCCGAGTTGCCATGCCATTTGGTTGTTTAACACTTGGGGAGAAGAAGGATTACAACAGCCCCGCAGAAGTCACCGACAAATATGACCTGGGACAAGTTGTCAAGTCGTGAGTGGCAAGCTGCTCCCACATAACACAATCAATGCAGTGTGTGTGTGTGTGCATGTGTGTGCGTGCATGTGTGAGTGCATGCGTGTGTGTGTGCGGGGGGGTGTGTGGAAAGTCACAGATTTTGTACTTAATTCTTGCTTCTTCTTTATGCAAAAGTTGGAGATTTAATATTTGCTAACTTATTATGCTAAAGCAGGTGATTTTATACTTTATTACTGTTCTGCAACTGGACAACTCTGAAACGTCCCCCTGTGGGACCAATAGAGGATCTCTTAATCTTATTCTAACAAGTTTACAGAAAATAAACCTTTGTGTTGACACTGACTGGAAATGTTGATCCTTGACACGTGGAGGGATATATTTATTAAAATTGATAAATGTATTAACAAGAGCGGCAGGGTCAACATAACCATCGATCAAATACTCACTTTCAATTTTGTGTGTGCGTGGTCTTTTGAGTAGATTTTACCCCCCAAGGGTTCTCAACTAGTGGGTAAGGACCCATGATCATTTGAAGTGGGTTGCGAGCCATTATTGCAGGCAACATTATTCAAATATTTGTCTACACTGCAAAACAGTCAAAAAAAGCAGTTATATTTTATTATAATAAAAAACCCTTGATTTAAGAAAGTAAAATTAGGGAGAATATTAGGGGAAATTATTTCCCTATTATTATTATATAATAACTGAATTTACTTGAAATTAAATGTGAAACTTGGAAGATTGATCAAATTAGCTAAAATACAAATGTACCAAACAGGAACAAGAGAATAAATGTACACAAATAAAATCTGATGGCATTATAAACAATTAAATATTCACTATTATTGTTATCATATGTTCTTTTTCTATTTTATTTATATTTCCTGATTCTGTTGATGTTATTTCTTCATAATTTTAGCGTTGTATATTATTCAATGCTTATAAAAAACAAAAGCGTCAAAATACAGTATTTACTAAATCCAGTTATTATTTGGGTCGCAGCCTGGTGTTATTTGTTGATGATGGGTCTTGACACCCCTCAGTTCAGGAGCGCTGTTATCCTCCATGTCACACTGCCCTACGGCTATTTACAAAGAGCGGAGGGTGCTCTGGAACATGTGTTGTAAAGAAACTCATGTCTTGCCGAAGGATTTAAAGGATACATAAAAGGACACATAGGGATACAATAACATAATAAAATATACTGCCTATGTCATGTTCTATATTTTTAAGTGCATTTTGATATAACCGTTTAATACACTGTTTCCTTGGTCATTTTCCCAGGGAGGAGTTCTGCGAGATCTTCCGGGCGAAGGATAGAACCACCTTGAAAATGTACACCTGTAAAAAGTTTCACAAAAAAGATGGAAGGAAAGTGAGGAAAGCTGCCAAAAACGAGATAATGATCCTGAAGATGTAAGTGATGCTCTGAGCTGTGCCAGTCTGACTTCTTCTATCAAAACACACTCTTTCATTTGAGACGTGGCAGTATGTCCGCAATCGTCGAGGTCAGCTTTTCGACTTTTCATATGGACACTGTTTATTTCCTTTGCCATCAGCACATGTTCAGCACATTCTTGAACAGATACATAATTTATTCTCATATATAAACTCTGATGACGAAGGCTGACTTGGCGGTCTGCCTACTCTGAGATCTGCAGCTTGTTCGGGACTTCAAAAACATATTGGAAGCATTAGTTAGTCAACTGTGAGCACTCCGTGTACTAGTGCAAAGGCATTACACATGAAAACTGCAGAGGTACTATTTCACTCAGAGATTCAGGGAGAACGAGATTGGATTAAATATTATACATGATAACGCTTGGCTATTGTCATCTCAAGACAAAGTCCACAATTTACATACCATACACAATGTAAAAAATATATATATTATTGTACATTACTTCGGTAATAAAAACAACACAAACAAGATGAATAATTTTTTTAAATTTTTTAATCTTAAATTGAGATATATCAATAAGTGGACCCTACAAGCGAATCAGCGTGTATAAATGCAAGCAACTAGTAACTATTTAAACTGGAAGAAGCTATATTTCCAGATCTTGCCAAAACAATTTAACAATTTGGACTGTCTGGAGAAAATATTCAATCCCTTGAATTGTAATTTGGGGACAGATCAAAGAAAATGGTCCAATACAGCAATAATGTTTGACTGAGTAGGAGCAAAAAATGTGTTACAATATTTTTTAGCATCGATGGCCAAGATTGAAAAATGTAAAACAATCGTATCCGTATAATCTCATTATTTCCCCTTCTCATGTACTGTTCAGTTGGAAGTCAGGTTTCTTCTGTTGACACTGTTTTACTTTTACCTCTTATATGTGTCATGGTGTGGATTTTATTTTTGTATTTTGCTTTTATTTTGAAATCAGTTCTGTGTGTTTTTTTTTAGTTTGACTCCCTGTCTTGTTCCCCAGTCTTGATTGTCTGCCCCGCCCTGATGTGTTTCTCCTGTGTCTCTGTCTATATGTACCCTGTGCTTCTCTCCTCTTGTTGCTGGTTCATTGTATTGTCAACGTCTTGTCCTTGTCTGTTCCTGTTTCCTTAATTTTTGTGCCTTGGATTTTGAGTTTTACCTGGACTTTAAGGCCCTGTCCACACAAAGTCAAGCTCAGGCCTAAACGCAAAAATACTTTATCAATCCAGTGTATCGTCCATACGAGGCCGGCGTTTTGGGGAGGTGTAAACGAACATTTTTGAAACTAGGTCCCAGAGTGGAAAGATTTCAAAACTCTGTATATGCCGCTCCGTGGTTACTGCCTCTCCGCAATGTATCTGAGACGCTTGCGTCATCGCCCCGCCTCTTGTTAAAGCACGCATGCGCCGCACTCAGAAAATAATGACAACAACAATGTAGCTTGTTGGTTTTGTAATCCAGTGCGACCCGAAGCAACAGTTCAACCTCATCGTCCGTCCATACTAATGTAGTACCAGCTCGCCCACTCGCCATGTTGTCTGTTTACAAAATTCCGCGCATGCCCAGTTCCCGTCACGGAAGTTTGGGCTTGATCCCGTCATTGCGTCACAGCGCCACCAACAGGTCTGGCATAGTTTCACAGCGTTTTCAGGCGTATTGACTACATTCATATGGACGCACACATTTACTGAGCTAACTCCGTGTTTACAGAAAAAGTTTCTGAAATTATAAGCGTTTTGTCTTCGTGTGGATATAGCCTTATTTTTATTATCATTAAATAATTATTTTTTGGCATTCCTGCATTTTGAGTCCTCCTCCTTCCCACCACGAGACAATATGGGCTCAATGTGTAATAATAATAATTTTTGGGCTACTCTTACATTGTGTGCGTACCCCCATCAACATCATGACACAAGTTGACAGCCAAAAAATGGTCAGGGGTTTCTGAACTGATTTTGAATAATTTTGGTGTTCTGAGTCCGAATATCACATGCATTTTGCTCTATCAGGTCAACTTTTTGAGATACAGCCATAGTGTTACGGATTATGTACGTCTACGTTATTATGAATTCTGCTTATCAAATTTGATGGAGTAAATAAAAACTGAATGACTTTGGATACGTTGACTTTTATTTCTTGAGGAAAACAGAAAAAACGTCAAGGGTTTCTCAGCTGATGATCCGCAGACATTTATTTTTTACGCAAAATTGATTTAAAAAATATTTCTGTAGCAAAAAATCCTGACCTGATTGAGCAAAACCAAGGTCATGTTCGGACTCAGAGCATCAAAATTAGTCTAATTCAGCTGGAAAACCCTGGAGTATTTTCAAAAAATATTTTTTTGTTACCCAGTGTAATGTATTATGTAAAGGCATTTTCTTAAACTATTTCTTCCCTCAATACTTATTTGCTAATTCAAGGTTTGCATACACTGTGATAATTTCCTTCTTAATTTTCAGTAGACTTCCCATTTTAGGGCTTTGTGATATTAGGAAATCAAATCCCAAATATTCGTAATACTTATTTAATAGTTTTATTTTCAGCAGTATTGTTAAATCCTTCAAAATGCTGTTCGGAGATGTATAAAAATGAATGGTTTTAGTTTAAGACTGGGTAAAGCTGTTGTATTCTGTTACCATGCTATGCACAATGTGATGCTCTATAGATGCATATAGCTCGGTCTTTCCCCCAAATAGACTCATTAACAGACTTCTTTTGTTGCTCTCTTCCTGCACTCTCGAAAGGGTAAAACATCACAACATCCTGCAGCTGGTTGACACATTCGAGACCAAGAAAGAATACTTCATCTTTCTGGAACTGTGAGTTGAGTGCATCGCAGGCACCTGGCAAAGAGGCTGCTAATCTAAAAATATGTTTTACTCTGTTTTGACACATTTGACTGTGACTTGTGCAGTGCTACAGGCAGAGAGGTCTTTGACTGGATCCTGGATCAAGGGTACTATTCGGAGAGAGACACCAGCAACGTTATGAGGCAGGTGTTGGAAGCTGTTGCCTACCTGCACTCCATAAAAATTGTCCACAGAAATCTCAAGGTAATAGAAATGCTTTCATAATTCAGCGTTCAGATCTCTCTAACCAACTGCCAGAGTGTGTAAATGAGATATTCTTATTCACAAGCCTGATAAAGAAATTGTAGGCACATTTTTCCACTGCAAGGACAACATGACTTCAGAAACATTGATTATCTTAAGTATTATCTATGTATGAACACTTGCATTTAAAGCTGGGGTATCTTTCTAGAAAACATGAATGAGTGAATGACAATATTTCAAGCCATGGCAAACAAGAACAAAGAACAACAACAAAAAAGCATACATGATAATATACGAAGATACAGTATGTTTTGTTTTATTAACAAAAATCCAGGTCGAAAAGGAGTGGGAAGAACTCAATATCCCCATAGTTATAGTTTGCCTAAATGTATGAAAGAGCCCGGTGAGACATTATTCTAGGCTGTGGGCTGAGCGCTGATTGGCTGAGTGAGGATGGTCCACTCTTTTTCTCTTTTCTGAAAAAGTTGATCTAAAGTTGTGACAGAGGCCAAAGCTATGTTAAAACTAGTATCAAACAATTTTGAGAACGAGGAACTAGTTACATGGATTTGTCATAATTACATGTATTTTAGATGGAAAGTTAGGTTCCCCTGCTTTGAATTAAGATGTTTGTTTGTGTTCAGAATAAATATCTTGTTTGACTGGCATTTCATTTTGCTTGGCCAGGTCTAATCAAATCACATCATTTCTTGTATGTATGCGAAGTATTTATGCTGCTCAAATGAATTGCAGCTGGTGAGATAAAAAAAAAAAGTCTGAATCTGAAGCAGAATAATTTAGGTAACTGAATTGTATTGTGTTTTTTGGAGTGCATGAATGTTATAAGTATTTGTAGCTATCTAGAATGTAGATCTCTGAAGTATATCACCAGATCTAAACTGGAACTATGAAATAAATAAATGAGAGGTGAACATGGACTAAAACAAGACAAAATCAAATTGGTGCAAAACTGGATAAATGGGACAGTGGCACATGTACAAATGCATTGTCATTGTTGATTCACAGCTGTTCATTCTAAACATTACAGGCTTTCGTATGTATTTCTGTAAACTCTGAAAGAACCATGTACACAAATAAAATCTGATTGCACTCTAAACCATTGCATGTTATCGTAATATTATCTTTTTCTAGCTGGAGAATTTGGTGTACTATAACCGCCTGAAGCACTCTAAAATCGTAATCAGTGACTTCCAGTTGGCCAAGCTGGAGAATGGGCTGATCAGGGACCCATGTGGCACCCCAGAATATCTTGGTACATTTTTACATCACTTCAACAATCCACCCAATATCATGCTGTTGGTATTAACTGGTATGCAATTGTTTTTGCAGCTCCTGAGATGGTTGGGAGGCAGAGATATGGGCGCCCGGTTGACTGTTGGGCAATAGGTGTCATCATGTATATACTGTAAGTCAAGTGGAAATAGGACATTTGCATGCTATTTATTTCATTTTATTAGTTTATTTGACAGGTACATTGTGCATTTTTGTAAAAGCACCAACATTTTCCAAGCAGGCTATTTTTCATCTGCAGTACCTGGACAGGTTTACATACTCTCCCTAAAGACAATATCAGTAAAAGTCACACAGTAATAAAATACAGAAAAACACAGACAGTTCACATACAAAAGAGATATTTACAACAACTGTATGTTCACTTTTGACTGTGTAGAAACTGTGATAAAAATCTGAGCAAACAGGAAAAATATGATACATACGACTGTATTTTTTATTTTGCCTTTGAATTAAGTTTTTTTCAGTCCTTATGTAGACTTGTTTGTTCTGTTACGCATTTGTAAGGTCTATGTTCTGAGTAATCATACGTTTTTAGCTGTTTAGAGCATGAATTCTCTTTTTTGTTAACAATATTGTGTTATTTATTTCAACAGAAAGCACAAACACATGCTTACCAGTCCAGGAGACACAAATCAATAAAAAAGGCGTCTATAGAAAACAACAGAAAGAAAAACATTGAAAATAGATAATGAATTTGAAGTCTATCCACGATATCCATGGTTTCCTCTTTAGTATTAAACACCAGTATTAGAAATCACCAAGAAAGTGTTAGCAATACCAGCTCTATCCATTATACATGATCTCATCCACCATATATCTGATCATGTACGTGAGTCCATATTGTATATCATTACCATGTGTTTATGGGCCCATTTCAGCCTCATTAAAAACACCACAGATCTCCATCACTTTTAGTTTAGCCAAAGAATTGCTCATTTTAAATTCACATGAATAATTTTTCACAGCTTCTTTCACATATGATCAGACGCGGTTCTTGGACGTTGGGTTTGTTTGTGGATTGGAGCTCGCTGAAAAGGAATTAATTAAATCTAAACTCGGAGCTTGGATCTTGTCCTTGTGAAATCCAACTGAGAAATGAATTGATTTAGTTGTTCTTGGTTCTTGTTAAGAATGTTGTGTTAACTGAATGATCATAAAAATGCACAGGTGAGAGTGATGATAAAAACTTTGATAATTATATTTGCCACACTTTTTATGCGGGACAACATTTATAGTCCCACATTTACAGTCACGTACATGCTTTTGTCAAGTTTAATGTCAAATGTTCCATCATTTTTTCAATAGTTTGTCCGGAAACCCACCATTTTATGATGATGGTGATGAAGACGAGGACAGCCGTGATAAAAACCTCTTCATAAAGATTTTATCCGGAGACTATGAATTTGACTCTCCATATTGGGATGACATTTCTGATTCTGGTGAGTGCTCATTCAGAAAAAAAAATTGTAAATTGTAGTATTTATTGGTTTTTCAGCCTGTGTGTGAATTATGCCCGTTGTCTTTAGCCAAGTCTTTAGTGGCGTCGCTGATGGAGGTGGATCAGGACCAGCGGCTCACGGCACAGGAGGCCATCAGCCACGAATGGTAATGCCACTCTCTGACACACGCCATTCTGATGCATTTTTCAAGACTTTTATTGAAATAAATGATCAAATTCTTAAAAAATATTTCATATATAATAACGAATATTTGAAATGTTTGTTCTATCACCAGTGTGTCATTTCAAGGAACACTATTAACATTGCTGAATTGTAACTGCGCACTGTTCTTTTCAGGATTTCTGGAAATGCAGCTTCTGACAAAAATATCAAGGACGGAGTGTGTGCTCAAATTGAGAAGAATTTTGCTAAAGCTAAGTGGAAGGTACATTATAGACTGTTTTACTCTTAGATTTAGATCACACAATTATAACAAGACAGTCAATAACATGTTGTGAAATGACTCTGATCCAATTTCCTCACCTTAGTTTGGTTTAGGCAGTCAAAAAAATACATAAAAATAGCAACGATTCTTCATGAGACATATAGAGCTTTCATACCGTTTTAATTCTGACATTCAGTCTGAAATGTTTAGTTTCATGCAACAACTATTATTGTTATTATAATGATTTTTTTATTATTTTTTATTATTATGATTTTTTTTTTTTTGTGTTTTAAAATGTTTGTCAATGTGTACGATTTTATGTTCTTGTGAAGGTATTTGGGTTGCACTGCATGGATTGTGCTTTATAAATAAACATGAAACTTAATGAGGCTTATAGCACGGGGTAAGAAGGTAGTGTTAGATTTATTCATTTAGTTCTTCCTGGTTCCGTAACTGTCATAAGAAGAAGAGGTTCATAGCTCTCATAAAGCTCTCCGTGTAACCTTAAGAACAACTTCAGATCAGCATTTTTTGAGAGAATATAAAGCTGTGTATATTACCCCTGCATGAGTAAATCAATTATTTGACCATTAAACCTGTCTGTAATGGCATGATAGCTTTTTGTCACAATTAGAATAGCGTTCTAATCTTATGAAGACAGTGTGGTGTGATTATTACCTCCACAATAATAAACTATTTAACCTTTGTGGGTCATAGTGGCACCCCCTCAGCTGTAATTATCAAACATTTTTATAACAATCTGCAGTCAGGTACACTTCTACCTTTAACTCTGGCGCTGTTGTCTCCATTTCCCAGAAAGCCGTGCGGGTGACCACTTTGATGAAGAGACTGCGTGCGTCTGAGGGAGAATCTGGAGCCAGTTCCGGGGCAGTATCCGACCCCAACGCACCCACCCCGCCCACCGGAGCCGGGGCCGGGGGGCTGAGCATGGCGGCCAGCATCAAGGCAGCACTCAGCGAAAAACCCAGTGACACAGAGACTCCTTCAGCCAGACAAGACGAGCAGCCGCCCCAGACGCGGTGCAACGGTGACGCTGTCCAGCACATGCAGAAAAAAGAAGATTAGGCTGAAACAAAAGGAGTAAAACCATTATCAAACAGACACGGCGAGTCGAGCCAGTGCACCTTTTGGCTTGAGATGTGGCCTGAGATGAATTTTTCAACAACATCATGCATTTTGTCATCTTGCATCTTGTGTTGGTTGAAGTGTTTAATTTTTTAATTTGTGTAAAATTACCTTTAAAGATTTTCAAATGTTTTCATTTTCACTATTTCATTCTTATCACTGTTTAAGCTACCATGTTCTTTAGTGACACCCATTGACTAACTGTATATATTGTAGAGGTGTTTATAGATGTCAGCTTCACAAGCTTCATAAAAGAACAAACAAAGCCTATTTAAAATCTATTTAGATTGGTTCAAATATTTTCTCAAACTAGAGATACTATTATGTTATTGTTCGATGCCGATGTGATCACAAGTTGTCAGTTGGCTATAATATTATGAACAACTTGGCCGATGAGCAACCATGTGTAGTTTAGTAATCCAGTGCAGCAGAAAGTAACAAGACACAAGCTAGTTATGTACGTACATATTTGTTTACATTTATTTTTAGTTAAAGTGCCTTAATATTTGTTGCAGTAGGCTGATGTGCTGGAATATTTCATGAGAAACCACATGAATCTTGATGGTCACTGAAATATTTGAGGAAACTTTCCTTTGCTTTCTGTTTCGTCTTGTGCTGCTTTGTTGTTTTTTGTGTGTTTTTGTCTAATTTGATACAGTCACATGTAGAACAGGCCTAATAGTTGATATGTTAATTTGTAATGTGATTTTAGATGTTATTGTGTTGTCACTTGTAATTAAAAGTCCAAGTGGTGTACCTATGTTTATTTCCATTGTTATGTAATTTACGAAGGCCTACTGTTTAGCTACTGAACTGGTTGCTCCACTGCTTGTGACTGAATAAATTGAGCAATACAATCTGACTGTTATTTTAATTATATTTGTTGAGCACACATTCCTAGCAGTAACACATTTTTATAGTTTATTTAATAGGCATGGTCACTCCTCAGATTCAAGAATGTGTGTTTTTCCCCAATAATTTCAACAAATATGCAATGTGATAATTTTATATTAGACAGAGATCATTAGACAGGTTTATAATCACACACCTCCCAATAGCAATCCTAAAAAATATTTTTGTTTATAATCTAAATTAGAGTAGAGGCTACGTAACAAACATGACACCAACCACGCTTGTGCCTTCAATTACAAGATGCAATTAAAGACAAAAATAAATATCATATTTAATCATATAATAATGAATACTGGCACGGTGGCTGAGTGGATAGCAGTAAGAAGGTTCTGAGTGTGAATCCCGGTTGGAACTTTGCCTTTCTGAGTGGTGTTTGCATGTTCTCCCCGTGTCTGCGTAGGTTTTGTCCGTTTGCCCGATAGACTGTAAATATGATGCCCCTGTATACCACTAAATACATGTACATCTCTGTGTGGAGTAAGAGACAAATGCCCACAATAATTATAATTACATCTCTTTGTGACTCTAGTCTGTGAAAGGCACTATATAAAAAAATATTACGGCCCATCCATCCATCTATCCATTTTCTTCCCCTTAATCCATTTCTGGGTCGGGGGGATGGCAGTCAGAGCAGCAGCCAGTACACTCACTGATCCTCCTGATCCTACAGCCCCATTCCTTAAAATCCCCCCAATTTATTTAGTTAGGTTTTATTTGTCAGATCATACCAGTAGGAGGCAGTATTTGCATCTCATGACTTCGCAAAGCCAGATTCAAACTATTGTTTTTTAGCATTAGCCGCATTAGCATTTATATTAGAAAGTATTGTCTTATCAATATGGGATACGGAAATCAAAATAAACTGGACTTTAATGAAGAACCACAACTAGAGCTGGACATAGAGCACGAAGCAGCAGCAGAAGAATTATCGTCTGAAGAGTTTTGTTTAATGGTCTCTCGCATGTTAGCTTCTCTCACAGATTTAATCAATGAACGATTTGAGCGCATGGAGTTATTGCTGCAGAAAAGCACAGACGCCATCAAAGCGACGCTGGACAATATCGAGAGAAGTAAGGAAGAACGTTCAGCTGCAAAGAGGAGCAAGGATGAAAAGGGTCAGTGTTAATCAAATCAATAAATGAATAAAGTATGTGTGCGTCACATTTGCCTCTGCAGCTGTTAAAAGAGAATATAAGATAGAGAACATCGGGAATACATCCTTTTAGGTGCATGTTATCATGTGTATTGTCTTACCCCAAACTCCTACAGATGAACATAATTGAACTTTAATCCGATTTATGGATTATAATGTCATTAGGTTGACAGTATTTTGGTTTGCATTTCAAATATCACAGTTCCCGATTTATAACTATGAGATATAATACAGCTTAAGCTCATGTAATAATGTCTACATTTTTGGTGAGGAACCACAAATTTAAATGTTATGTGTTCTCTTTTTAGGCGATGAGCCATCTCTGAAGCCAGCGAGGAAACGACGACGTCACAAAAGATGGAGACAAAACATTATCCAGTGAATAGGCAGGTTCTATAATATATATTGGATCTATAGAGGGATCCTACGGTCACGTGACTAGCAGCCACGGCAGCCATACTGGAGGACAACCTCGGCGAGTAACAGCCCTGCTAGCTATCTATAACTGGACGTTCAAAACTAGAACTCTCTCGAACTACATGAAAACTGAACAGAGAATTTGAAACTTCTGCAGTTAGTGACCCAAATATATACTCAACCTAAATTCATGAATCAGATCCTCTGAAAATGCATCCTAAAATGTATTCGTTACATCCAGGTTTACCGCGGTCGCATATTGTCGCATTAAAACAGTGTTTTTTCATGAAAACGTGAACAGAAAATTCTGAAAACCTCTGTGCACGTGTATTAAGAATGTATATGTATAATGTATTCTCCGATTAACATTTAATGTGTTTATTGTTACACCATTGATCTATGTGTGGCTACACTGCAGTGGAAATAATGAGATTACATTCAAATCAATGGAGCTTTCTGCGTCTACTGTGAGGAGCCGTATATTTTATTAATAAATACTAGTACGGGGCACCCTGGAGCACGGCTCAGTCGTTCACATGTCTGCTGGCCTTCGGTAAGTCAGATACTCTGTGAACCGGGTGAGGTCCTGTGTGAGACCAAATATATAACAGCTATGCTACAAGCTAAGCTACAGTCTACGGAGCAACCCCACGTTGCAGTCAGACAGATATGTTTTATCCTTAAACTTCTGTTTGTTTTGGAATAACACTAAATCCGCCATCAAATTGATTTCACTTAGCAGAAATGAAATGATCCGAGCATATTCGGGCGCTCTGGGGGCTATTAGTTTTTTGTTGTTGCGTATGGTTGTGCCATTTCTCTCTCGTTTCTTTGAGATGTCTTCTGTTTTTGAGCCGTGTGAAGTAAGGACGGCTGGCAGTCGGTAACACAACTTATTTTCCCTGTCTCTCCTTTTGCTGCAGCCAAAAACGGCAAAAATGTTGAACATGTTTATGCGGTCCCGGGTGCACGCCACTATCATACAGCGTTTGCTTGTCCTCCAGTATGGCGGATGCCCCGCGAGTTCGAGGCATCGTGACGTCACGTGAGATATCTCTATAAGGCAGGTTCAGGTCTCTGATGGATGTGGACTTTTCAGACTGTCGGTTTTTATTTCATTGTTGATTTTTAATACAAAGCAATAAAACTCATACAGAATGTATTTGTTATTGCCTATGTTACATTACTGCTTGACAACATCATGATTGAAATGGTCATGTGTGAGATCATTATTTATGGACTGTCCTTACTTTACCTTTCTGCATCATTCGTTTTTGCCTGTTATTATTAGCTGAAATTACATTGATTTGTTATAAACAGATTGAGTATTACCATGACAATATCGATGTTAATTTTTTTTCTTCTGATGAGCAGGCATTGCTTGACATTCTCACCAGTTTTGACAAGCAGCAGTTTGTTCTGGCACTTTGAAGGATGTGGCCGCATTTATATTTTTTCTTTCAAAATATATATTACACAGACCAATTATGATTATCGTCAAAGTAACCCCTGTAAACAGATTGTCCTTCAGAGTCTATCAGACTCTCCAGTGGTTCTAATTTGCCAGAACCATTTGACAGTTGAACAGCTGTTCCCTGCTGTGGGACAAATAAGGGATCTGTTAATCTTAAAATATTAATTACTATATTGCACATGCAACATGCGATTCACAAAATGTTTTAGTTATATTTTTAATGGCATAATGTTGGTGGCGCCTGAGTACAGCAAGAAATCGGCAGTTCAGGATCAGTATCCAAGTTGTTTGCCTAAGATTCATGTTTTGTTGGGTTAAAGGGTAAGGTTAGAGCTAGGGTTAGAGTTAGAACTATTGTTAGGTTTTAGGATAAGGTTCAACGTTAGGGTTATGAAACAGGGTGAACTTGTATTAGTGATCCTGGACTGACACCAGACTTTAAATCAACAAGAATTGTGCATATGCTCAGGATAATTCTAAATACATAATTAGTATGAATGCTACTCCTATACAGATTAGCACTGAAGGCGTTCTGTAATTATTACGATTTTTGCAAGATTATATGCGTACAATCTAAATGTCAGTATTTTGCAATGTTGTGTCAGTACTGTTGCTGACCAATGTGAGGCAGAAGAGAAAAATGTTGCTCATCTGTTCCCACGAAGAAGACCAAGCCCCGCCTCCATCTGTGCGGCAGCTGGGTTAGCATTAGCATCAGCTAGCATTAGACTCGGGGACGGATTAAAAACAGAACTATCGTAGATACTGTGCACAGTGTTCAAGGTAAGCGCCCTTGAAACACCGACAATAACGGAAAAGCGGATAATTGTTGGATGTAGTGTTCTGCTGTCGGCTGCAGTCTGGGCCTGTTTCCACGATGGCGCAGTGACTGGATGTTGATGCTAATAGCTGCGTCATAATACTTCTGAACGTGGATACTTCTGACAATGCTTTCAATTACGTTATGAATGCTCATATGTCCAGTCAACGTTGGTGTTTACGTGTTTTATTTTATGGATATGTATGAGTACTGTCGGATCTCTGATGAAATGGCGGACCTCCCGTCTCATAGAACAATTACATAGAGTAACAATAAACCCATTTATTTTTCCCACGTTTCAGATTCAACCTTGCTTTGGTTGATCTGAAGATCACTGTTTTTCGCTAATATGTGGGATGGACCTGGGCCTGGACCGAGACGTCGGGGAGGACCTCACTTTCGGTGAACAAAATGAGTTGTTCTTGAATTATTGTATTACCTCAGAATTAAAATGTGTTGTGGGTGTATGATAGACGATGTAAAATACATGTGCTATCGTCATTTACGTTAAAGTGCATTATTCAAAATTAACTGATTTATATACGCACTTTGCAGTGATCATCATGAAGACTATGGGGGTAGAGACAACCACCCCATGCACAGAGGCAGAGGCAGAGGTGGAATGAACATGGGTCCAATGGGTCCTATGGGTCAACGACATTTTGATTTGCCTCCCATGGACATGAGAAGGATAGATGGGCCACCTATGAGAGGTCATGACATGGACCCTCGAGATATGGGGGGATCAAGGGAACGAGATTTCTTCAGGCGTGGGCAAGAAACAGATTTTGCTCCTGGAAGACAGGTCCAAATTAACTTTACGGATAAATTTGTATTCAACCCTGATTTCGATGAGCATAGACGCCAAGATGACATGGATGGCAGAAATATGCCCCCGCGTGATCCAGGATTTATGAACATGGATAAAGAAAAGTTAGAGTTTGAGCGGATACCATTTCATAGTGAAGGGAGGAGAGGGTTCCCAATGGATCGAATGAACAGGGACCCAGAAGGCAGATTCATGGACGGGGATAGAGAAAGTTTTGAGTTTGAGCGGGTGCCATTTCATAGTGAGGGGAGGAGAGGGTTCCCCATGGATCGAATGGACAGAAATGACCGATTTAGAGAGCAACGGGACCGGTCTCCTATGAGTATGCGCCATAGTGAAGGTTTTGATATGGACATGCCTCCACACGACAGAAGAATGGACATGAACAGACAGGGAGGTTCATCATTTAATCCGAGAGGGGGATTTGGTTCTGATATTGATCTTAGAAACCAAGCTGGATCAATGTCTAACTCTAGGGGAAGAGGCCGAACTCCATCAAATTTTAAAAATGATCCCAGCCCTCACAACGACCTTATAGAGTCAGACGTGGCTCAAGAGGACAATGACCCACAAACCACAGAGAAAGCTCCTCCTCCAGATCATGATGGTGAAAGCCCGCTAATGGACTACCGATGTGGGGAGGAGATGACTCTGGCTGAAGAATGGAAAAATCGCAACAAGGGCAAAAAACCTTTTATTGAGCCCCCTAAAGGTTTTGGGGACATGCATGAACCTAACTTCCCCATGGACTTTGGAAGGGAAGAAAATATTAGGGATTTGCACTCTCAAGAAAGGGATGCAATGTCAACAGATTATCCTGCAAAAAATGTAAACTTCCCACTTAGAAATCGCTTCCCCAATATGGATATACCCATGGGAACAGGGTCGCTAGACTTTTTGCCTCCGCTTAATGAGCCACATGCTCGAGAAAGGGAAAATAAACCTTGGCTTAAGGAAAGGGATCTTGAATATAGGCAGCCGCCACCAAATTTGGTCAAGACACCATCTCCACAAGAGTTACACAAGCCACCTGACTGTTTCAACGACGTGTCACAACCACAGAGAGCAAAGCCAGAGGAGGAGCTCAACCTGGGCAGTAGTGGTGCGCCACCTAGAGACCAGGACTACAGAGACATTGATTATCGAACTGCCTCAAGGGCCTTTGATTTCAAACCTGAGTTGCTTACCACACCACTCAAACTTGAGAGTGAAACAGCTGCACCAGACAGATTTATCGAATCTGCTTCACAGGTATTTAATTTTACACCATTGCTTTTTCTATTTTGTCTTTAAAAAAACCACGGTTGTCTCTTGACATCAATGTTTGTAACTTCTACTTTCTCAAAGGACCAAGACTACAGGGGTGCAGTGTTTCAAGACCCGGTGTCCACAACTGTCTCTATCACGGGTATTCCAAAAACTGCTACCATGGAACAGGTAGGGCCATGAATGCATGAATTACTAACTAGAATAGGATTATTAGTTCAAAAACTTCTATTGTTTGCGTTTTTCAATAGATTTTGGAAGCCTTCACCTCTCCTGATGGTGTTCCACTTCAGGGAATGAAGATCAAGACTATTGTTCCAGGTAAGGGTCTTCCCAGAGCACTTCTGTGCAAGGTGCACAATCGAAAACGGCTCGATATTTCGCTACTCGACTTTCGATTCTTACTCTCGCATTATTTCGAATGTTTGCATTTGCTTTTGTGAATTGTGTGAAAATGGGAGAATATGGAATTCTCAGTTGGTATGAGGTTTTTGTGTGAATTTTGTGGCTTCACAGTAGTCATGATAAATATGTGTCTTCAAGTACAACGTCATTTATTATAAGATACCTTAAATAAGCACCCATATCCTGCTTTTGCTGGTGCTTTTTTATGTGTAAATATTTCCTTTTTGAGAAAGATGAACCATCAGTTTTTGGTAAAAAGCATGTACCACCAAGGAACATGTACACTTCTTTGTCAACTGCTCTGAAAAGTTATCAATGCAAGGTATTTTGAAGTCCATCACAAAAGAAACCAGACCTAAAACTAAGGTGACTATATTCTTGATGAAGTATAACGATGCGCTTACTGTCGATCGACGTCTATCTTGTGTCTTAGTGACTGTCTTTACTGGAATTGACTAACAAAGACCATCTGTATTTCAAATGCTGTCCCCAGGTTACAGCTACGATACTGCCATTGTGGAGTTTTTAAACCGCGAGGATGCAGTCCACATCATGGATTCCAACAAGGTGGCCCATCCTCATCACTCTGCGAGGCTGTCTCCACCTGGAAACAAGGGGTTGAGAGGGCTTTGGGGGGGGGGGCAGACTGGGAGGAGCATACTTCACTATTCATTTGACCTTACAAACCACTGAAACAGTTGTCATATTAACAATGTAGTCTGTTCACCAGACCAAACTGAGATATGTACAGCTTGTAAAAAGGTGCCACTGTTGTGGTACTGCAATTCGCGAGTCCCATGACCTCAAGTATATGAATTTTGCATGTTTCGTAGTTTTAACAATATTTTTTGCTGATTCAAATGTTAATGGAATAATTCAAAACAAGGAGGAAATCCGTTTACCCGTTGTTGACCAGCCGCATTATCTTTGGCTGTAGTAAACGTACTGCTTTTCTGTGCTCAGTAGTGCTTTGACTTGGCTTTTTAGCCTCTGAGAGCTTTTTTCTGTGTGTGGTTTCAGTCATATGTGACATTGTGGGTATTAAATGGCAAATATATACTTGTCGTGCTGTTGAAGGCTCAAAGTTGGTGTCTGAAGGCTTATTCTAGTTTTACCAATTGATGGTGTTGCAGAATCTGTGTTGTTGATATGATAAAACTGCATATAACTTTGTCACCAAACACATGGCTTAAATGTGTCACAACTTTTGCTTTCAGTTTTGTTTTTCTTTTAATTAGATAAATGAGAGTTTTAAAGTGACCACAGTCAGGAGCAACAGTGATTCTAAACATATTCAATCTTTATATTTTTTGACAAAAACCTATTGAAATGTGAAGACAAAAGAGTGAATTTAGCAACTTTAAAAAGGGAATTTCCTTGCTTATTGAGATTTAAACATTTTTGCATCATTGTGCACCTTCAAATTGAAGAGCCCCCACTTTGAGAACCACTGGTCTTTGGTTGTCTCCTGTCGGGCCAAGAGTGGCACACTGCACTAAGATGATGAGAAGCAACATGGTCAGACAATTTACAAATTGGAATGTTCTTTTTTTTTATTTACTTCAAGCATAGAAATTGTATCGAGTCTTTGTTGAAATAGATTCTAACATTTTAACATGATAAAGTACTATACGCTGTTTTGGCAACAAGTGTTTCCCCGGAAGTATTTAGTTCAAAATCTTTACTTTGGTCCTTATCAAGTGAAGATCTGTTTTTGTATATGTTTTTCCTCAAAGACTTGGTCTGCTTTCACTCAAGCATTCAGTGGCAAAGGGTCACATTTGCTTTCTTTTTTGGAAAGAGAAAAACTTTGTTTGGCATTATATTCACTTTATAGTGAAGAAACCAGATTGCATTTGTGTTTTTTAAGGTTGGACTGATTCACAAAAAAACAATGTTGTCTTAATTGATAAACTCAACAAAAACCTACTTTCTCAAAATGTAGAGGAAAGGATGTAGGTCTGTCGTTTTCAGATTCCACGGAGATTGTTGCTACTTTTGGTCAGTGCAATATTGGTCAAAGTGTTGTCATGTGGATTTTTCTTTCATTAAATGCAGCTCGATTATATTTAAGTTTGGGAGTGGTTGATTATTGCGCTGTAGTGTTGAGGAAAGAAAATCCATTTTATCTGAACAAAGTTGAAGAGTTTGTAGATATAGCTGACAAAAAGACTTGGGTCTTACAGTGGAATAAATGTGTCCAATATTAGTCATTCTTTTTATAGTGTATTATTTACTGATTATTATTGTTATAGGATTTGAGACATGCACAAACTTGGATGTCGAGTTTGCGTTTGGTCTGGTATAGCGCTCCGACTGAAAACGAGGAGCTTTGCTCTGTTCTCCACTTTCCTTTTTTAAATATGTTGTATGTTATTCACTTCATTAATATTTAGTTAGTCATTTATTTTGTTAATATATTTGTTAATTTGTAAACTTATTACAACATTTAATAACTTGACTTATTGGAAGTACTGGTTTAAAATGTACTCTGAGGGTTTTTGCCCAGCTTTGTATGATGCATGTTTGGGTTAGGGAAGACATTACTTTTTATAATGTTGTAGTGACAGATCTGGTTTTGTTTCAGGCTTCTCTCAAGATTGGCTCTAGTTTGGCTTCCATGAAATTTGTCCGGCCAGAGGACTGTGAGAGAGGCACTCCGGTGAGAAGAATTCATGTTTTAAATAAAAAATAGCTGGCAAATATATACTTATTTGGTGAATGTAGGCTTAAGGAATTTTCTATTTGCTTCGAAGGAATCCGATCATGGCTTTCCCCATGACCCTAAGTCCCACAAAGCACATGCCCCTCCAGAGGAGCTGAAGAGTGGTCTGATCGACTCTGTGCCAGGCCTGGCCACGGACGGGAGCAGCACAGAGTGGCTGCGCAACTCTGACCTCACTCCGGAGGCATGGCAGCGGCAGGTGGACCAGCAACTCAAGCAGCCAGACGACACGCAGCGAGAGCCTTGGTCCTGCCAACAACCTCCACCGCTACAATCAGGCCAAACTGACTACAGCGAAAGCAAAAGTGTGTTTTTCTATTTGTTTTGTTTTTTATTTTTGAGAACATCCAGATGAACACTGACACAGCCAAAAGTTTCAGTCTTAATCCTGTAAAAACCTATTTTAAGATTTGAGGACAGGGTGGTGAGCCATGTGGTCTATACCGCATATTGAGACGCATAATAGGTTGCGTTCTCATGACCATACAACATTCCAATGAGACCATAGTTTACGATTGGTGGACGGAAGCTGAAAAATCTCCTAGTAACTGTCAAAGCCAAATTTCTCTTTAATTATCTAATACATACAGACTATAATCTAGTTATGCTCTCATAAAAGTGTCTAGATGTGGTGACTATATTCTAAAACACATCAGGGTGCTTATTTTATTACGTTTTTATTAACTTTATGTACTTACCTTTATGTATACTTGTGTGCCTACTGCCTTCAGAAACACGCAGCGACCCATTTCTGTTGACCACTAGGCTAACTATGTGTCAATAGACCTCAGTGACATCACGAAAATGTGCCAGACGAGGCTAAGCAAGCGTTGATTGGATATCATTCCATAAAGCTAATACAGTACGTGACCAGTTTGCAAAATAATTATTTTTTAGCCTACTTTATGTATTTATTTTCACACAAAATTCCACACAAATTCAAGACTTTTCAAAGTCTGGAAAAATTCCATACTTATTAAGACTTTCAAGACTTGCGCAAGCACCCTGCACATGCATGGTGTTGTCCAGTCCAGGACTTTCTCACAGAGATAATACGGTGAATTTGTGAATCTGAACAGGGAAACATTTGGACATTTTCTTATGCAGCATTTCTTTAAAAAAAACCTTTATCCCTTTGCGCTTGCCCTCCACCTGAAATGGAGTTTTAGAATTACTTCTGGGAATTTTTCAACAGTGACAGCACTTCTATTTTCAAACTAGACTTCTGCCAAGAGGTGCAGTTCCTCCATTTATCTCAAATACACCCTGGACACAAACTGTTTGCAGATTAAAAAGGCTTCTCAGTATTCAGAAGATTTTACTACATTTATCCCCCTACTGATTTTGACAAACTTTATCTTAAATATTGACAAAGATTTTTTTTTTTTTTTACAGCGACCGTTCTAACTTTTTAAACACCTGTTCCACAGCCCTAATTATAAAATATGTGAAGCCCACTACAACAGTAGAAACCATTCTGAAGGCCTTGGACCCTTATGCCTATTTGGACGAAAGAAGTGTCCGCATTGTCAAGGCTAAAACTGGCAACAAGTGTTTCTGTTTCGTCGATATGGAATCACATGAGGTAAAACCAACACTGTATATCAGGGTTTTTTTACCTCAGGAACATCACACTTGTCAATTTGCTTTTTTATGTGGCCTCTATTTAATGATTGACTTGTTTGTTTGTAGCAAGTGAAACGTCTTGTGGATCTTCTGTCCAAGCTCAAGCCTGTCTACATCGACGGTTTTAGAATTTATGTTGAAATCGCTAAACCTTTGAAAAACACTCCTCAATCAATCCCAACATGGGTAAGTCTATTCCTACATCTTGCAGAAGCGGCTCTCAACTATTGCACTTATTCACATGTTAAAAATTAAGAGAGAACATAACTTGTAGTCTTATTTTCTTCAATCCCGGTTCTGTCTTTTTTGCAGACACCCCCAGCTCAGCAGCAGCAGCAGCAGCAGCAGCAGCAGCAGTCATTCATGCCTCCTCCACAGTACATGCCGCCCATGCCTCCTCCTGTCAATGCACCCACAGAAATGCAAGGCAAGCTTCCCCTGACACCCATCGAGCTATTTTTGTATTTGTTTATGGCTTATTTAGTTGTTCTGTCTTCAGGTGGTTTGATGCCTGTCACTCCTAATCTGCCCCTGCCCATAAACCCCAGCATTACCCAGGTGAGGGATGGGAATCGTGTCATTAGGGTTGCACACAGGCCAAAAAGATGTCCGTTCATGTGCAGAAATTGTGATAATTAGGAGTCTCTCAAACATTGAAGCTGGGACCTGCATGATAAAAATGTATGGGTTTTGTGACCCCCAGCCTGACTCGACCTATATTTCTATGTCAGTTTTTTAATTTGTTAGACTAGGCAATGACCATTTTTAATGGTATTTTTTCTTAAGGCAGCAGACTGACGCTAATGCACTAGTTCGCTAAAATGGTTAATTTCTAGTTTTTTATACAAAAAGGAGACATCAAATGTTTACTTTGCGGAGAGTTAAAAAAAAAAAAAAAAAAAAAAATTATATATATATATATATATATAAACTATGACTCAAACATCAATAATCTAGAAAAAGTACAGTACAAATTACTTTTCTTTAGGCATTCATTTTTGGTTTGTATTTCTGCTGGAATGTGCGGCCTTGTTTGAAACCTTTTTGTTTGACAAATTCTCACAGGAATTTCGATGTTAAAATGTGTATTTTGCTCTCATTGTCTTTGTAATTCCACAGAGTCTTGGATATGTTGATGTTAAAGTTCCAACCGAACCAGTCGTTCCAGAGTCCCAACAACCTGTTTACTATAGTAAGGTCACACTAATGTTACCACAATCGATATCTTATAATGGACTGTGTAACATGGTTTTTGTGTTTGCTTTTCCAGTTACTGACACTCCAGATGTGAGCAACTATTTATATGATGCCACGTCAGGCTTTTACTATGATCCAGAGACGACACTTTACTATGACCCGAATTCGAGGGTAAGATTAAGCCTCTCTTCCATGATTAAATAAGTATTCAAAATTTGAATCCGATGAATAATATTATAAACAATCTTTTGTACGCTAACATCTGACTGATTTATATATGTGCAAACGATCTGGTACACACAATTATAAATGTTGTTTTTCTCTTAAGTATTTCTACAACGCTGAGACTCAGATATACCTTTACTGGGACCCTGCACTGAAGGCTTATATTCCAGTACCTGGGAGTCAATCTGCAGAAGGACTGACTATGGGAGACCAAGCCATTCTGTCCAATCCTGCTGCAGACGCCCCTCTGGAGATGAAGAAACCCCCACCTAATCCTCATATAGCTCAGAGCCCCAATGTTGCACACAACCCCCCCGCTCCGCAGATCCCTCAAACTATACATGCATCCTACACTGCAGAGACCCCTCACTCATCATTTAGCATAGAAACTACACAAGCATCCTTCACCACAGCCACACCCAGCCCACAAGTACCACCTGTGCCACCTGTCCCGTCTGTGCCTGTGCCCGTACCTGTGCCCGTACCTGTGCCCGTACCTGTGCCCGTACCTGTGCCCGCACCGGATACTGTCACAGCACCTAAAGAACCGGCTCCAGCTGCAACCATTCCCGTAGAGCCCACCCCAGCAGCAGAACCTGCAGTCCCAACTCAGGATTTAAAAGACGACGAGGAGGCCCAAAAAGACAAGGATGAGAAGCCAAAAAGTCGAGCTGCAGTGAAGGTATGTCATGAGGGCTAATAAAAACTAGCACTGTGAAAACTTTTATAAGGTTGAAATTTTGAGCCTCATTCACATAAATATTCAGAACCTTCTTCTGTTCTGTTCTAAAAACCTGTAAAAGTCCGGGATTTTGTTCCTCTGGATTATTTTGCCATTAAATAAACAGAATCATCCTTAAGATGTTGTTACCATGACTGAATTGACCACAGTCCTGACAATTGAAATGCAGAAACCAGTTCTGTCTGTATTAACAAAAGCCCTGCTGATTTTGGGAATATTGTGCCTTTTTAATGTGTTGGTAAAATTCCCCCCAACTAATATATCTAATAAGATTTTTTTTTTTTAGATCATGAAGGACATGGAACGGTGGGCAAAGATTCAGAATCGTCAAAAGGAAAGTGTCCGCACCCCCTCGTCTACTCTGAGAGATGATGGCAGGAGACAATCCAAATCGGCTGATGCCGGTTTTGCCGTCTTTGAGAGAAAAGTGAGTGATTTTTATAAATTGCATATCCCTGCGGAATATGTTATTTTACTCAAAAAAATCTTTTTAGGTAACCGGTGGCAGTGAAGAGCTTTTCAAGATGCCCTTTGCTCCCAAGAAGGACGAGAAGTCAAAGGTATGTAATATACCATATTCAGTGACTAACTCCTGAGGCATAGTTCAGCTTCAGCGGTGTATTTGCGTGCACAGGTTACGCAAAGACAGGCACACAACATGCAGAGAATAGTTCTGTGCGTGGATGGTCTTGGATTTGACCACGTTACCGCGGCGGATCACAGCTGCGGCTGCTGTCCAGAGCGGCCGCAGCTGCCGCGGGTCAGAACGCTGCGGCCACGGATGATGTGGACTTCAGTTCATTCAGCCAACAGCAATGCCCCGCGGCCATGCGCGTATTCTTTTAAAACGGACACACATGTGTCATTCGGACATGCGTTACACGCATTAATTTTTTATCAACGTGATTAATAAAAAAAATATTAACGTGTGCTAACGCGATAATTTTGATGGCCCTAGTATAAATGAACTGGTTGATTTACATTTTCTTTGGATTGAGTGAAGCAGGATCTCAATGTTTTATAATAAAAAATGTACTTGACTCTTCAGTAAAATATAACTCTTCACTTTTTTTTCTCCTCAGCGTTCTATGGGGTCTTTAGGTGCGCTGGTGTCAGACTATGGAGCAGGAAGTGATGAGGACGTGGAGGAAGACCGGGAAGAGCCCAAAGCCTCTAAAGCCGCTTCACCGGCAGAGAAGGAGGACCGTCTCACAGACTGGAAGAAGATGGCCTGCTTACTTTGCAGAAGGCAGTTCCCAAACAAAGACGCTCTTGTTCGGCACCAGAGTCTCTCTGATCTTCACAAAGTATGCTTCTGTTTTTATTTTTCACTTCCATAAGTAAAGTGTTTATTTATGAATATACTTTTACATTACAGCAAAACATGAAGCTCCACCTCAAGATAAAAAAATCTAAAAAGGAGCTGGAAGCACTGGAAAAACAGGAACAACAGGTACTAATACTAAGATACAGATGTTTTCATTGTTGTCATCAGAATTATGAATGTTGGTGATGCTGTGCTTCGAGTAGTTAAAGTGAAACTGAGTCTCACTGAGTTTGTGTGTGATGAGAATGTGACATGGAAAGGAAACCTAAAAAAGGATATAAAGGTTTTCCGCATTGGACATTTTATTCTTTTACTTTTTTGTTAGCTGGAAAAAATACTACTTCACCAGTCTGCATAGGTTTCCTCTGGGTGCTCCGGTTTCCCCTCCCATAAAAACATGTACAATCGCTATAATCCTCCAGCTTTGCTAGTCCTGACCAAGCTGAGCATCAACATCTGGAGATGGGTCCCTGAGCGCTGTAATATGGCAACCACTGCTCCTGATGGAGGCCTTAGCGGCAATGAAGGATGGGTCAAATGCAGAGGACAAAACTATAGGGTTAAATAACTAACTGATCATCAAGATTTCAGTCTCTGACCTATACTGTTCCATGAGGAGAACCAGACAAGGAAATCAGTGATTAAGGAATATAATATTAATTTAAAAATGTGCGTTCACAGTTAAAAGCACAAGCAGCCACAAAATCGCCAGAGCAGAGAAAGCGGAAACCACGTTCCCCACCTTCTCCACCTTCTCCCCCTCTCCCAGCACCGCAGCCAAAACCACAGCGACAGCCACAACCACAGCCACAGCGGGACTGGGCTGAAAGTGAGAGACCTGGGTTAGGAGCAGAACCGATCCCTGCACAGGTAACTCTTTATATTATTAATATTGTTAATGCATTACTGGAAACCCCTCGAACAAGCTTATTGTATTTACAGGTGAACTATTGTTCAGATGGGTATAAATTACTCATCAGGCAGTAAATGCCCTGTGGTTGATAACTTTTTTTTTTTCTCAGAAAAAGAAGAAAAAGGTGTATACTCATGCCGCCTATAAACAAGCAGTGCGCAATGCCATGTTTGCGCGATATAAGGAGCTGGATGCGTGCTCCAGCACTTTGCCGAAGTGACACGACCACAGAATAGTTTTGTGCATCAAAGACTTAACTGCCATCGCACCTTGATTTGAACATGGGACTTCTCTAACTATTCACATCAGAAATGAGATGAAGTGTGGTGTACTCCATGGACTGAAATGTTTGTTATGTACAGTCGAAATCAGAAAATGTCTTTATTTTGCATTCAATGGAATTGTATAAATGTCCAGTGTGTTTTTCTTTCCTGTGTTATTATGGATGTAGTATGATTATGGTAATTACTGTGTTGTTTTTATTTTCAGGACCTCAAAGAAAAACGTTTTTAAGTAAAACATTTGAGACTTTGTCATAATTGCCTCTAATTTTCTGATGCATCATTAATTGATCAATCTAGTACCTGAATTCTTATCCTAACTTATTTTTCAGTTGACAATAGTTTTTATCTTGAAAAGGAAATCAAGTCAACTGATTATTTGGAGGTTATAGACATCAGTCCATTTGCCCTTTAGTATAAAGTTAAAAAGAAAAAATTCTCTGTGGGTTTGAGCCCACCACAAGACCTTCTCCACCAACTCCCTCTGATGTCTGCTGTCAAGACACTTAACCCCACTTTGCCTGAATCCCCCGCTGAAAGAAGACGGCTATGCCATAGGGCAGCCGTCCTTCTGTGGACTCACCTCTTGCTGGAAGGATCAGAGGGGCTGGTACTATGTGTACTGGGTGTATCTCTGCCCCCCCCCCCCCCCCCCCACAAATGGATTAAGGGGAAGATGATAGATGGATATAAAAGTAAAAAAATCTAAATTTTCTGTATGAATAGTTAAGTTTCCATATGAACTCCTGAGCAGAATGTATTGAGTGTATAGTTGTATGAACGGAAGCTCTGGGGCAATAATTTACATTTACCCTCTTTTATTTTATCCAACAAGGAAATCTCAGCCTGTCTTACTTTCATGATTACTTTGAATGAGAGTGACTTTGTACAATATACATAGATGAACTAATTAAGCTCTTCAATCATTGTCACTGAAATTAGAGACCTGTATTTAATTATTGTTCCACTAGGGGGCAGCAAATTATTTTGCAAATTGAACAATAACTGGGAGTAACAATCCTTTGAATAATTTGCATGATATTTTGGTTGGAAATAGATATCTATACCGGGGGTCTTCAATTAGATTTTGTCCTTCACATTTTGGGGGAGTGGGAACCCTCACAGTAACATAATATGACAGATATAAGACCAGTTCCATTTGCATATAAATAGATTTATTACCCCTTTCCTGTCTTAAATTTCTGATAAATATACAGTGGATTAACTTTCCGTCTTTGTTCACCCAGGGGGATAAGATAAAGGACTGAAACAAATAAACTTACAATTGTCTATTATATGTAGGAAAGTGAAAACCCCTGGATTCTAGGTTCATACACCTATTTACATTTTGTGTTAAAAGAAAAAAAAACATGTAGTGACAAAGATGCCGGGGAGCTGGAAGCTGTCATGCAGCCTCTGGTTGAACAAGCATTGAGGCTGAGAGCAAGGAGAGAGGCAGGCGATTATCCCAGCTGGACTGCGATTAGCATGGGGAGCCAGGGGACAAGGCTGAAAACAGCCAATCTTCTGTAGAAAATAGATGAATATGTAATAAAATGTTTTCAACACCCCATTCCAATAGAAAGGTTTATGCCACAGTAACGGTAGAAACATATCTTTGTATATACATTCAATTAAGGTTGTATTGATTTACGAAACAATGAAAAAAGACTTATTTTGAGTTAGTGGCGGCACGGCAGCTTCTCTGCAGATTGGACACAAGTGGACCCAAACTAACAGATTCCACTAACTGTTTTGTCTTGCACTAGATCCCTTAGTTATCCCTTTTGGATAACTACGCACTACTATATTCTTGGCCCTAATCCTCTGCATACAGAACGACAAAAGACAAAAAGTAATTTATTATCGTTCCGCATGCACATCCAAAGACAACATGATAAACGTGAATCTTCTCTCTGCCCTTTTTGACAGCTGATCAAGAGCACTTCCCCATGTCGAATAACTGGACCTAAATTGCAGCATGTGTTTGTGGTCGCCCCGTGCAAACAAAAGGGGCTGCACCTCCTCAAGCGGCCTCATATTCTCGCATGCCTGTCTGAGCAGATCCACCATCTGGCCCTCTCCTCTCAAGCACGAGTTGAAAGATGCTGTCTGTTACTGGATAATCTGTAAAAGGCCAGGACATCCTTCAGAGAAATCTTTTATGTTTACAAAATGTGCTTGAAGCCAGACCAAGGTTCCTGTCATTGAGAGCATTAGAGAAACATTTGGTCATGGGTGAAGTCATAGAAAAATCCCCCAAAAATATGCATTGCAATAATCAAGTCTTAATATGAGGTTGGAATGGTGTGGTGTGACTTATATTAACTTGATTCATTGGTTCAGGCGTCGTGTTAAGGATTGCAAGACAGGACTAAAGCTACCCCAGCTTTAGTACTTACTTAATCCTTTAATATAATACATACTTTGTAATACATCTAAACAAATGCTTAATACATACAACATTCAGTCTTTCTTTTGTGGAAAACATCTTACTGTACATTTTTACTGTGAGCAGATTGGCTGAGTGAGGGCTGGCTCTCTTTCACTGAAAAAGCTGATCTAAATTTGTGACAGAGGCCAAAAACACATACAAACGAAAGAACCAAACCGTTTTAGCAGCTATTTGATGTGGTTTCATAGTTATGCACCTAGGGCTTTTAGTAAATAACTTTTTTGAAGAAGAGTCAAGACATTAGCCCATATCGTGTTTGCGTTTGCGAGACCTTGGTTCTTGTGTACATTGCTTAGATAATGACATTTTCCTTGTTTACTCTTTAGACTTTGCTTTTCCCATAACGTTCCAAATAAGATCAAAATCCTTCAATCACAACTGTTTTTTGGACCGTGACACAGGAACCACTTAAACATTGTTTCATGGCTGAAGTCATAAGGGAGAGTTGTTTGTCAGATGCTGTTTTATTGTAGTCTGAATCCATTATTATTCACTGCTAAATAGTTGTTATAAAGTTGGCTCCTCGGAGTCGAGAAAAGCTGAGATTTATAAAGTGCCTTTCCGAAGTGCTCAGACTTGTGTGACTGGGGCAGATAAATCTTATTACATTATAGGCGTGTTGTCATAAAGCTGTAAGTTCTGCTCTGCATCACGTTTATAGCATCTATCAAGAGGCCTGGCAGCGACTCCCAGTGCTTTGCAACTCATTATCTTCAATGAAATGCCACTTATTTTCATAGAACCGCCACGTCTGACAGTGAACCTGGCAACGCACTGCTCTTAACGTCAGCGGTATTTGGACTATAAGACTGTTTTATTATCTTTATAGATTCCATATGAATTACAAATAATACTGTATACTCAAAAGGTTGGCTTAGGTGGTTTGTTATGGTCTGTGATGGTCACTACAGCACTAGAATACACACTTGATCATCTGTGTTTGTCCATCTGTGAGCAACATAATTAAAAAAGTTGTGAAAGGATTTGGTCAACATTTTTGAGAGGATGGGGATCTGATTGACCGTTTGGATGCTGGATTTTTGTAAAGGTATGGAACTGTGGCTCTAGGTACCGTCTACGCCCTACGAGTCCTTTTCTCGTGTTAAAATGTATTCGTTGGGATCAACAAAAATATTTTTTTTGTACTTTTATCAAATTTTTCAGTAAATTAGCTCTTTGAAGCAATTTTATATCATAAACAATGTACTCAATATTTTGCATATTTAGGACATAAGAAAATCAAACGTGATCCGTTATCTATCAGTGCTGTTGGCAACTGTGAGCTTCATTAAGTGTCCAACAGAGACTGGGAGTGGAGGATACTCAAATCCATAAACTGTTTCGGTATAAAGGGTTTTTGATAACATTAGTGTTTTGAGAGAAGGGTATAGTCTTAGATTTTATAATAATTATATCATATAGACATTCTGCAGCTAAAATTCCAAAACCCGGCTTTAACTGACATTAAAAGTCATTTGGATGGATCAAAATAATATCAAGTTATTGCCAAAGTCAAATCAGTGTCCTCCCTTTAATATCTATGTTGAACATGAATATGATATTGATAGATTGGGAATTACCTGAAGTATTTGGCTTGTTACCACATCACAGCGTTCCTAAAACACTGATATGATAAGCAGAAATGTCGGAGGCACCATATTTGAAACTTATTTTTCAGGCAACATGGGAGACCTGGACAAAGCCAGTGTTAGTGCTCTGGTTGAATACACACGGTATTAGAATCAGTCTGTTTATCTTGAGGCAGTGCGTAATCCCATTGCAGCAAACGCAATAACGAGTGAAATATTACAACGAGTAATATAACGAGTGAAATATTACAACAATATGTATGTTGTATGTACAGTATATTAGCTGTTTAGCAGTTACTTCAATGATCACCCCATTTGACTATTACTCATTCCGTGAATGTTTAACAGTGTTGCTGGAGACAAATGCCCCACTGATGATGCTTATAGTCTGTTTTGTTCTTGTTTGTTTTACACTGAACACATTTTGACTGATTAAAAAATACACTAGATTTGTGTTTCCATGTTCTTCATGGAGAGGAGAATGGCTCCATACTGAAGGCTGTCTGGAGCAGTAGTTATGTTTGGCCACCAGTACATCAAACTTTTTTGTGGCCAGAGGGGGTCAGGGATTGAATCTCTGACCATGATGGAGGTGACTTTTGCCAGCACCCTCCTGTCCCTCAACTCTACCACAGAGTCCAGGGGCCCCCTGTCCCTCACCTCTTCCACAGAGTCCAGGGGCCTCCTGTCCCCAGGTACTTGAAGCTGTCCACCAGATCAATGTCCTCCCCCCGGATGTTCAGCGTGGTAATGGTTCTCTCCTAACCGACCGGTATTCTGGTCCGATCCCATCAGACACACAGCCCATGATGGCGGAGTCGTCGGAGAACTTCTGCAGGTGACAGCTGTGTGTGTTATATGTGAAGTCTGAAGAGAAGGGTGGAGTAGGTAAAGA